TCGAAAAACAACGTACCATTGTCCGAATGTTATGTTTTGAGACGAAAAATTTGCAAAGATTAATGGATTATACGGTGATGTCGCTTACAAATCCACACACCATTCGTGGTAGACCCACACTAAAAGATGTCAAGCGTTTTCGGAATGGGTCGTTCCACGAATTCTGTCGTTTGAAAGCGTTGATAACTTGGAAATAAGTGAATACATCAGATGTTGAAACAAGCAAGAATGTGTCCACTTCCAGTACTCGCTCAACGAATCCACACGCGCTACGAATTGCGACAAAATTTTAATCCTCGCATTGGGAGAAATCACACAAGCAGTATCATCAGTATCACTGGAAAATCCAGTAGAATCGTTTGCATCAATGGAAACCCCCTAGGGGGGGTAGTCATGGAACATTCGGTTGGGGTGTGCCGCTCAGGTTTTGTTTTGGGTCCGCACCCTGTTTTAGACTGGAATTACTGTTCTAAAAAGAGGAATATTCCAACAAAACTGTCTCACACAATTGCAAACCCAAATGGTTCAGTAAAATCTAGACGTAATATAAGACCAAAACGGTTAAAAATCCATGCCCTTTGGCAAAGGACACACCGATGTAGTTTATAAAAAGGAGTACGCTCTCATCCCGGGAGATGGAAATTCACTAATTAACTGAAGTAATCTGTTTCTTACTTAAGGTTTCTATAGTTGTACAGAACAACTGCTGGGCTTAAACTTAAATAAAAAGAGATAAAATAAGTTTCCATAGGTCAAGACTCTAAGATGAGCTGTGAACAATTCGCATTGTTCATTGTGCTATTTGAAGAACTTCTGGCCCTCACAATGGGCAATAAGCGATCAGGATAGTAAAGCATGGTCAAGGCTGTCACAATAAAAGCAATAACCATGTGTTTCCGCCATCTCTTCTTCCAAACACGATCTATGGCAACATTCATATAGGACATTTGCAGCCAAAACGATAAAGAATTAAAAGCAAAGTCAATGCTAATAGCAATGGAGACGCGGGTGAAAAATTCGGTTATCACGGACGCCTTTTGATGGTTGTATATAAACTTGTAAATCTGAAAGAAACCGACCGCTGCTATCATCGACGTGGATTCGCCTAGGATCATCTGAATGCTCATATCGGCCACAAAGCGCATGCTCCTTGGCGAACGAAATTGATTTGCTTTCAAAATGGTTTCCCTCTCGTCTCTTTTGAACTTCTTGTAAATGAAGTACCAAACATAATCACGAATAACGACAGTCAACCTTTCCAGCAAGTCTATTGCACCATGCGCGAAGCTGAGAAGAGTAAAAAGTCTGATTTCAGACAGGTCCGCTTGCATAACGCGAAAAACGATGGCGGAAGAGCTGAAGAGTACGTTTAACAGCACGTGCGAATCTCCTGGATGAAGAAAGTCGATTCTTTGTGCCGACAAGCGTACAATGACCTTTGGAATAGCAGTTACTAGAGGCAATGCCCCGGCTATGATCGCTCTGTAGGTTTCAGATGCTTCGCCATACAGGGGTATAAGGACGTACACGAGACCAAAAGTGATAGGGATTCCAAAAGCAAACTGAGCTACCAGCATGCCCATTACCTTGATCGCTTTCTTGATTCTTTTGCTTCTTTCGCTGTTCTTTGCTATTTCTTTGCCAATGAATAAACTGTTCATCGTCAGCAAAAGAACAAAGAGACAGTTTAGCGGGTAAGGCACCCAAGACTTTTTGTAAACGCCGTACATCTGACAATAGAGCCTGTAACAAGTGTCGAATGATGCGCCAAGAAGATTCAGTGTGATTAGATTAAGCTTTTTTATCAAACTACTTTCAAACATTGTCAACATAAGAAGAAGCGACCACAGTTGAATCACGAAGGTTTCTATTACCTCAACTGTCACTATCACTCTCTGATATCTCTTGGAAACCGCCGTCCAGTTAGTTTTCTGCACATTGAAGCAGAAGTCTGAAGTTCTCAAATTTAAAATCAGTATTGAAATAGCAAGTGACCCCAACGCAACACCGCCAAGAATCTGCATGCGAAATGCGCACTTCATGGCCTTCCAAAGCGACACTCGCCATGTTGGCGGGCGAGATCTTTTCCATCCCATTTTGCTGTTGTCCCCAGGAGGTGGGTCATATTCTTGAAAAATCTCGTCGTTTCGATTAAACTTTCTAAAATCTTCCAGGGGATCTTTGTCATGTAATAACGATGCACCGTCTTGTTGTTCTTGTCCTTGACAGGACTGAACAACACCAGCGGTGAATGTCTCCACCATGTAAAGAACGACGTCTTCGAGCAAGGATAGAGCAGCTCCCATTACTTAATAATAAAAAACTTGACAAACCTTAACAAGTTGCTGTTAGCTAGTACGAATCGAGAGGCGATCTGCACGGGCCAATAGAAGCAGGAAGAGTCAGATCTGCTTTACAGTAGCTTCTAGACTCAGTTGTTTTGATCGATCAGTTCTTGATGTTAAGGTGGTCTTTTGCCAAGTAAGAGAATGAACGAACTAAAGACCATAAGAAAGATACGCTTTAAAATTATACTAGACAAGCAACAGGAAAGAACTTGTAAAGCACGTGCGATTCTCGTGGAACAAAACAATAGTGCAACGAACCCAACTCAATTTTGAGTCACAAGCTAAGTTTGATTCAAGTCATATGGGAAACAACGAACTTAAGATCAATGGAAAAGTACGCTCCAAAAATATGCTGTGATTTTGAAATGAGCCTGTAAAACACGCGCGAATCTTCTGAAAGAATGACCTTAGTAGAACGAACTAAAGTCAATTTTGAGTCACGAGCCAAGTTTGAACCAATCTTTAAGTTATTTTAATGTCTTATCTGTGTTTCTCTTTATGACCTCCTTACAGAAAACCGTGTAACAAAATGAGCTAGCACAGAAAAAAAAAAGGGTGAAATGGTGTCTCCATACTTAGCTCCTTAAACATGGGTAAAACATCTTTCGTAATTTCTCAGGAATGAAAAAATGCACAGAGAGTCTTAGGGTGCTTATTACAGTCAGAACGGCTCGGCCACGCCAACCAGGACCAGTTATGGTGAAAAAAGAAATAGGATAGTTCTCCGTGAGTTTTCGCTATAAACCCATAAATGCCGTGCATGACTAACATTTGCGAATACTTAGACTGATCTCGCTGGATACTGAGTCTTGTTTAATAGTGGGATTCTCTCTATTTACTCTGGTCTAACCAGGCAGTTCTGACTACTAATGATAAGCTGCCTTGGTAGCTTATGTTGTAGGCTTATAAGAAATATATGGGCGAGATAAGCGCCGATGCGTGCGCACGTCTTCCTCCCTCGCGGCTAGCGCCGTCTTTTCCGAAAGCGCCCTAAATTTCACATACACTTGCTTGGCAGACTTGAGCTTCAGCGATATTTTGAAATGTTACTACCCCATTTTATTTGAGTTTTCTAGCTTATCTATTGAATGGTTTCGATTTACATTTGAAAACCAGCATTCCACGGATTGCCGGAATATTAGTGAACACCTCTTGACTGAGCTCACTAATTTAAATTAGTATACATTATACTCACTAGCTGTCTTCTCATTGCCTAAGAGCCTACAGTTAATTTTGGAAATCAGTGCAACCTACAGATAAGTTAGTTATCTGCTCGCAAATAACTGACTAATATGTAGGTTGCGCGCGCAATGCATGATTTCCAATAACAATATCAATTCAGGTTCCTTGCGATGGTGTGTTTGTCGTTACTTTCTTCAAAACAATCTATAATAAAACAATTATTAGATTCGGTTTTTTGTGATATCCTATCCTTCGGCTTCGGCTGATAACACTTACCCACTTACTCAGTTCATTTTATATTGAAGACATAGTGTCCGTGTGGACTGAGGACGTGAACCATGGCGGACGGACGTGAACCTTCTGGTCCCGTTTTGACGAAAGATACCGAGTCTTACCAGCTTAACCTTAAATGGTGCGAATTACAATCCCTTAAGCTAAACGGGGAACGATTAACGTGGACGAATAACCTTGAATCGTTAAAGAATTTTGTGGAAAATGGCTTGAAACTACAAGGAAAGTGGTCGTCGCCCGGAGGAAACGTAAAGCAATTCAAAAGTTCTAACAATAATCTTGTCATCAACTGGTATAATAAGAAACAGCTAACCCTTTGTTTCCAAGGTCGAGATGGTCCCTCCTTAAAGGACAAGTTGGTCAAGTTTATTCAAAATAAACAGGGAACAGAAGCTGATACGCCTGTCTCGTATGCTTCAACAACCGAGCAAGAAATTCCGCCTTCGCAAGAAGCCAATGGCATCTGCAGTAATCGACTAGCTTCGGCCGCCGACGCCGAACTTGAGAACAGTATTCAAGAGCGATCGAACTCGGTTATCAGTGCTGATATTGAGGGCTTAAAACTGGATTTACTAATTCTTCAGAAAAAGGTTGAAGCAAATACAAGCCTTCTGTCGACGAAATGCAAATTACAAGAAACCGCTTTTAGCGCCGAGCTCCTCGATTACAAAGAGAGGTATGAGAAGGTGTTATCGACATTATCTAAAAAAGATAATGAAATTGAGGTGTTGGAGGAAAAGTGTTTTTCCTATGAGAGCCAAGTTTTGTCCTTGCAACAAGAAAATGATTCTCTTAAGCTGGCAATGAAGATCATTATGCAAGAAAGAAGCGAGGGCGAATGCCGCCAACAAAAGATATGTGATTGTTGGTCCCAAGTGGGCACACTTGGGAAAAGTGTGAATGATAAACATATCCAACGGCCGTTGGCGGCCTGCAATATAGTAACTCAGAACAGATTTGAGCCCCTTAGAAGTGAGGTACAATTCCAAGTGAGAAATGAGGACAACTATACTGCAAATAACGAAGAAAGTCGCCAACAACAGCAACAGCAACATTCACATGTTGATTCATCTGAAGCGAGCCGGGCATTTGATTCAATTCCAACTAGTCATAACCGCTATCAGGCCTTACTTGTCTCTTCTCCTTCGAGTCAAGTATCCTCTGAGATGCCACTGCATC